GGACATAGTTACAGATCTTTTGTCAGCTCCCTTACACACGCACAAGTGGGAAAACTATTGTAATTTAAACAGCCGACGATGCTTGTGTACATACAAGCGTTAGCCGCCCGATTGCTTGTATGCTGTCTGCATGTGTGTGGCCTCCACCGCTGGCTACACTGGGCTCTGTGTGCCCCGTGCAGGCCGAGGACTGGCACAGCGACTCTGTGCACAGAGATCGGAGGGAGATCAGCACACGATCTCCTGCTGAACTCCTCTACAGTCTCTGAACACGGAAGTGATGTGCATTACATCACTTCCGCCTTCAGCTGTCAATTCTCCGGCTTCTGTAGCCGGAGTGCGTGGCAATAATCAATACTCCAGTATTCCACAGTTACCAAAAATTATACATTATGGGCTCATACTCATTGCCCATGTTGTTTGAAAGCCCTCCATGTCATCTTTCTCATATAATCTGGCAGTTTAGCACTACTCAGTGAAGATTATCCAATGTATGTTTCCCATTGCCCTCTCTACATTTAGTCTACAAAGAGCCGACACACAGACAAGTACCTTAGTCATTTTTATCGTTAAACTGTCAGTTGAATTATTACAGTAGATGCCTGTAGTGGCTGCAAAAACTTGTCATTGCCAGTGTAACTTCCAGAGAAAGCATTCCTTCTATACAGATGTAGTCACATATTAATCCTGATAACCTGTAGTTTTAAGTTCATTTTAAGGGACATTTTTGACTTTATTCAGTGCAGTATTGGGTATGAGCAGCCCCATTCTACCTAACGGTATCTAATAGTTTCCCATCTAATTGGTCGGCCAACTTATTCTCTGAAGCCCACTTTCACCCTAAAACAACTCGATCTAGCCCATTCCTCTCCACTTAATGCAGATTTCACAAATCACCCTGATATCAAATCCGCTTCTGGTTGCCAATGCCAACTCATTAATGAGGTCTACCACTCCCTGTCCATGAAATATACAGGCAGTCCCCAGGTTACGAACAAGATAGGGACTGTAGGTTTGTTCTTAAGTTGAATTTGTATGTAAGTTGGAACAGGTAAATTTTTTAAGTGTAACTCCAGCCAAAAAATATTTTTTTAGTTTTGGATATCATAGGGAAGGCATAACCCCCTGTAACGTTTGTTTTGCTGTGTGCGCTTCTGTTCAGTAGATTTCACCTCACTTTCTGTCCCTGTGACAATTGGATTTTGAAAATTTTGAGATGTCATGGAACCAAGGATTGGTGATAAAGCTTCAGTGGAGACACCTTTTTCCCATGATAACGCTTACAGAAGTGAATTTGCCTTCCTAGGGGTAGATTTCCTCTCACTTCCTGTTGCCTTAAGGACAGGAAGTGATATTAAATCTTTCTAATGAGGATACAGACAGCAGTAAAACCTCAGAGTGACCCGGAAGAAGAGGTGGGAACCCCTTGTCTACATGTCTAACAAGAGCCAACTTCCTGTAATGTACGTATAGTACTACAAACCAGACCAATGACTAGGTCTTGGTAAATTTTCTGGCTTTGCCCACTCAGAATCTTAGTGTATGATCAGTATAACAATCATATTTTGTAACTCTGCTTCAAATCTCCTTTTCAATTCCAAGTTTTTCCATCACATCAGATTTATTGACCTGTGACCCCATGGCATGCCTTCCCTTTTCCATTTTTAATTTTCACTCAATTTAATAAATTCCCTTTCCCCAACACTCACACCATCCTGAATTAGTTTGGTAAGTTAAGTATACATCTTGTATTAAATGTCTTGATTTCAGACCTTAGAAATCAATTACCCCTGTATTTAATTCACCTGCCAGTCATCAAATCACAAATATCATATTCTGAAACCCTATAACTGTCACTGTTAAGTTCTAATGGTGTTGTTTGGATTGAAAATGAACACACACTGGAGGACTACTACGGGCAGAGCTAGACAATTCCCAGGAGGCTGGTAGCCAGTGTCTTTGTCTACCCCTAAAAAAGGGTCAACCTTATTGCCAACGATGAGTGGCAGTTACTGAAAGGTATTTTTGCTGTATTTACAGAACACTTTAAAGCTGTCAATCACTGGTCTTGCATCTTGCTATTTTTTGCAACAGGCAATGAATGATATGCTGTAACTGGGAGATTCACTGGGAGTGAATGTAAAAAGACATATTCATTTATACAGATACAGATTGAGAGGCTGCAGTAGGATCTGGCAGTTTATGCAGTATGAACTGGAATGGGATCAGTTATGTGCATCCTATTCACTGGGTGTTGTGTTTAGGAAATGCTCCGGAGCACTTCTAAACACAAAGAGAATTCAGCTTCATATCTCAAGTTAGCTAAACCCTTTAGTGCTATTCAGCTGTCCCCCAGGAGGTTTCCCCACAAATTTGCAACACTGTAGAGGCAATTTTCTTTATGAAGCCATTAGGGAATTAAACATAAAATAGGATGATAAATCTGTTGCTATATGCACGAGAAATTAGGGATGCAACCAAACTGACAAATGTCCCCCATCATGTTTCTGATTCTCCTAAAGGTCACTTAAGCAGACTGCACTATGTTGTATTATATTAAAGCATAGTTAAAATTATTTTCCTTTAATATCAAGATTACTCCTGGCATTGTCTTGGCACTTCCTGGCAGATCACATCACACTATTACGATGGTGTATTCAGCCTGTCACAACTCAAAAGTTTGTGCAGCTTTGCCAGCCTGTGCATTTAACAACTTTTATTAGTTTGAAGACTTGTATAACTTATGTCTCAGTAATTAAAGGAACTGCTTCACAGCTCTGGCTGCAAGAGACAAATGCTTACTGTGGCTTGTTAAATGGCACAGCGTTAAATGTGTCCAATAATAGCCAAATCAATAACATATATTACATTATTGTTGCTTTAAGATATACTGTCATAGATGAAAGAAAAGGAATATGAATTGCATGGAACTGAATGGGGACATTACAATAAAGTCATTCTAGGAATATATAATTTTGATAATCATTTGATGGGTTATCATTTTTACACCCCTCCATGTAGTATATACTGTTTGCCAGCAAAAGTAAATGAACAGCAACCTTTAGCAACCATCTACTGATTCATTTTTTCTGCCTTTACCAAGGAAGCAAGTGCTGTATTGCTATGATCCATTATAATGCATTCCTCTTGCAGTGGTATTCATTTTCAGCATTCTGGTGTCGGCATATCATTTCCTATAATGTATAAGACAATCCTCTAAAACAGGTTCTGAGACCCACAGCAGTTAGCACACGTGTTGCATGCCAGGGCAGTGTGCTTACTACACAGAAGTGTTTGTGACCTTTAAGTATCAGTCAGTCTATATTAGATAAAGTATAAAATATATAGATATGTTAGATATAGTATGATCAGTGTGTATAAATGTAGCACTTTGTTTTAACCTCATAACTGACTAACAAGGCAATTAAGTAATAATTTAATATGATGATATAATATAATCCTGTGCATAATTAGATTATAAATTCTTCTGTGCAGTGCTCTCACACTGGTTGTTTCATGTTATGGCATTGTTTTATACCTTTTAAGCTCACTTTTAAGCTTACTTAGTACAATACTGTGGAAAATGGTGGCACTACAATATATCATTCAAGAAACTGTATTTTTGATTTATATAGCGCCCGCATCTTCCATAGTATCGAACTAAGTGAGAACTTAAAAGTTATAGAACAACAGTTTTGAGATGTTCTAGCTACAGGTATGGGTGACAAGATAGTATAAGATCACCTGTAATGTGTTTGCTTTAGAATGCATAAAATAATGTATACAATGCAATAAACGGTGGCGGCCAATCAGAATTCATGATTCGGAAGCTATAGCAGTTTGCATGCCACCATTAATCATTTTGCAGCTTTATGTATGCACCCTAGAAGCTCAATCCATCTGAGAAATCTGAAACTTGGTTGGAGAATTGAAAAAAATTGATTCACACTTGTTGTGCTGTAGGCAGTAGACAAATATCGCTATAACTAATGCCCTGCTAGGAACTGAAATAAGCTTTAAAAATACCATTAGTCTTTTGAAGTGTTGATTGTTAGTAGCTATGGTACACTTTTCTCTGAACGGTCTTCACAGAAGTGTGCGTTTGTCTATATGTTTCTTTTCTAGATTTAGATACATACATATGATTCTACAGTCATTGTCTAATTGCACACCATTAGAAGCATTTATACTCTGATAAATTCTGAACAATGACACATACAGTGTACTTTCCTTAATCAGCAACAGTAGTGATAACGGCATGCTAAACATGTCGTTTCCTTTCAGCTTCAGAACCGCAGGTTGTCTATGATAGTGTTAACACTTTTACTGTCTTAATATAAAACTGCTGGATTTAGTCTGTATTAATTGCACCCTTACAAGTCTACTTATTATGCTTTTTAGAAAGTGTTCCTAAAAGTTAGATCCTATATTGGTTAGTTAGATCTCCCTTTAAATTACAGGCGTGCATACTCCTATAGCAAACATGTTATGGAATACCAATGTTTTAGACATCCCATTTAAGGACACACAATACTTTTCATAAGAGAGAAAAAATAGATAAAATTAAAATGTTTATATCTATCTATCTATATATATATATATATAGATAGATAGATAAATATATATAGATATATATATAGTACATTGGACAAATGCATTTTAACATGTTGATAAACTTGTAACAATCACTTCTCTGGTCTGTATTTGCTGTATAATATATAGATATTGCAATCCATGGACTTGGAAGCTGTGGTTTCCAGCGTGCACATAACAGCAGACAATTCAAGTCCCTTGCCCCCCTGTACTCATCACAAGTCCACTACCTGACATCCCAATGAAGTTCTTAGCTCAATGTTGCTACTTTTACATTAGGGGAAACAAGTGATGTGAAAAAAGATAGGATCTGAGACAGGACTAAACTCTAAAGAGAAGCAATGTCTTGCCCTCTATTTCCCATTGCCTGACTTGTAGTGGAAGTGTCATGAATACTATGTACTCACCTGAATGTGGCGATGCTGATGAGTGACGCTCCCTTCTCTCTGCCTCTCAGGATAAAGAGATTCATCAGGCAGCTGCCTCTGACTTGGAAGCCTGCTCCCCCTCTCTCTCTTTCACTCTCCCCCCTCCTAACTCTTATGGAAGGGGCTCTGATATTTTCTCTATGGAAACGCTCCCCTCTCCCATGTAGATAGAAGAGAAATGATAACAATGTCTCTTAACTTATAGACAAAGACAAGATTTTATTCTGGAATAGTAAGCAAATGTTACCCTTGTGCTCATTCATTTCCTTGATTCATTCATATAGTACTGGAATATTTTGGAGGGTTTCACTAGGCACTTTGAACTATTTACTTTAGTCACTTTAAATGGTTATCTATCTATCTATCTATCTATCTATCTATCTATCTATCTATCTATCTATCTATCTATACATATATATAGATAGATATAATTTGTTATAATGCAATATATTATATTACATTATACTTTATACTATATAGTAATAGTACTAGCATACTATATATTATATATACCTTTATATAAGGGGCAATACAAATAGCAGTATAGGATGGATGGATATATTTGGCAACTCTGAGCAAAATTTTATTAACCCTTGCAGTGGGGCTAACCACCCCTGCTCATTTGTGTCTAGGGAGGAAAAAAAGTTATACTCACCTGATCCTCGAAGCCGGCTTGTATTTAGACTGGTCCTTCCAGCCTCTCCCCCTTCTGCTAAGGATCTTAAGGTCATCATGTTCTACACATAGTGTATAGGCTGTGGGGACATAGCATCGCTGCACCAGAGGAGGAGTGAGGCTGGAGGGAACGTTGTTACAGCTGGCTGGCTCCGAGGATCGGGTGAGTATATATTTCTTATCTTCCTCCTTAGACGAAAATTAGCAGTTGACCCTCACAGTGTGGGGGTTCTGATTTAACATGTTAATATGTAGTGCGCAGGGACTGTGAGGGGCGGGGGACGGTGTCGGAGCCAGTTCGGAGATGGTTTGGGTTTCTGTGGCCGAGTGATGCACAGATAGGCTGCATTTTTGTTGGTGGTATCTGAAAGTATTTAAAAGATTAAACACAGCTACAAAAAACAATGAAATATCTAGTTTGTTGGTACCAGACATATCCTTCCGTTTTGGTATAGTAAAAAATATATATATTTTGTAGTGTTAGGACCAGTATCAGCAAGGGTGATTGTATGAAAAGTGGCAAAATAAAACTAGAACAAAAGTTGAGAAGTGACAAAGGCAATGGATCTACAGTCTTAATTTGTACATAAGTAGATGTAAACTTTGTGTGATATTTAGTTTGTTAAAGCACTGTGAATCATAGACAATTCCCAGTTTTTTCTTAAACAAATACTTGATTTTATCCTTTTTTTATCCTTTGTGTCATCTCAGTGCTGCTGATCTCATGCAGCCACTTCATATTTACATGCACTCACTGCAGAAATGACGCATTAGCATGTGTCAGAGTAGGTTTCTTGATTGTGACGATAGTGGACCATGTCTGCGTACAGTGTTAAAATTATCACTTGTAGATGGTAACTGCGGATCCAAGTATTGAAAGAGACTTTTGAAATTAGTTTTCCATGGTAAAGCTGATATAGGATGACAGTGATTGGGTTTACATATACTGTAAAACTGGAAGCTGCTTGTTTGCTGCTGCTATCAGCTCTACTATTGTTATAGCTTTGGCTTAGTTCTGATTTACATTGAGGTGAACAGTGTAGTTTTCACTTTTGTCCTCCCACTTTGCCCCCATTCACACTTGCGGCACGGGAGAATGTGTGTTGCGCTTATGCGCATTTTACCACATATGCTGCGTAACCGCACCGGGCAATCCATTCATTTCAATGAGCCGCCCTATGAGTGATAAATGCAGCAAAGAAGTTCATGCAGCTTCATGCGTTTTTGGCAGTGCATTTTTGTGCATTTGTATTGCGTAAACATGCAGGCAAAGACTCGTGTCTTCCTGTGTTTGGGATGCCATTAGTAAGTAATGGTCCCGCAAGCCTGTCATGCATTTTCCTGTATTGTGTGAATAAGTGTCAACATATATTCTTTCATGCATGGGGCTTTATCTTCTTCTGTGGGACCTCACACATGTGTATGAAGCAGCCCCAGTAAACAGTGCTGCAGAATGTGTCCTGTTACAGATTTAGATAAGAAGCTGGGGTGGAGGTGTTAGTGCAGACAGGGCTGTCCCTTTAATGAGTCGGTTGCTCAGGCTGCATCTCTTTTGGTTACATTGGGGGGCAGCAGGCAGAGCGGTATGTTTGTCGTATACTGGCCGCTCTGCTGCACAATGTTTGCAGTGTGGCTACCAACCCCTTTCCAGCCAGATCATTCCAAGTTGCTAAGAGCAGGGCGGGGAGATGTATGAGGGTCCTACACATCTCCCCGCCCAGCTTTTAGCAACCTAGATACTCTGGCAAGCCTCCCGCCCAGCTCCTGGCAACCACTGATGTCACAGATTGCCAGGAGATGGGCAGGATACCAGCCAGAGCATCCATGGATGCCAACAGCCGTGAAGATGCAGAGCCTGCAGAGGGTGGCGTCACTCTCAAGTCACCTCCCGCCTCAGGCGAAAAAAAGGTTAGGGACACCACTGAGTGAAGGTAAGTTCAGGAGGGGTATGGGGGGTGGCGGTAGAGTGGTTTCTTGGAAATGTATAGTTGCTCCATAAAGTGAACCACTGTCCACTTAGTTTGTAATATGGATTACAGTGTGTGCACAATTATTAGGCAAGTGAGTATTTTGACCAAATCACTATTTTTATGCATATTGTCCTAACTCCAAGCTGTATAAACTTGAAGCCTTATTTGATTTAAGCATATCAGGTGATGTGTATTTGTGTAATGAGGGAGGGTGTACACCCTATATCAAGGTGTGCATAATTATTAGGCAGCTTCTTTTCCTCAGGCAAAATGGGCCAAAGAAGAGATTTAACTGACTCTGAAAAGTCAAAAAGTGTAAAATGTTTTTCAGAGGGATGCAACACAAATTGCAAAGATATTGGGGCGTGATCACAGAACCCTCAAACTTTTTGTTGCAAATAGTCAACAGGGTCGCAAGAAACGTGTTGAGAAAGAAAGAAGCAAATTAACTGCCAAACATTTTAGAAGAATCAAACGTGAAGCTACCAGGAACCCATTATCCTCAGTGCTGTCATATTCCAGAACTGCAACCTACCTGGAGTGCCCAGAAGTAGAAGGTGTTCAGTGCTCAGAGACATGGCCAAGGTAAGGAAGGCTGAAACCCGACCACCACTGAACAAGACACGTAAGTAGAAACATCAAGACTGGGCCAAGAAATATCTGAAAGACAGATTTTTCAAAGGTTATATGGACTGATGAGATGAGAGTGACTCATGACAGACCAGATGGATGGGCCCGTGGCTGGATCAGTAACGGGCACAGAGTACCGCTTCGACTCAGACGCCGGCAAGGTGGAGTACCGGTATGGGCAGGTATTAATAAAGATTAGCTAGTTGGACCTTTTCGAGTTGAAGATGGACTCAAAATCAACTCCCAAACCTACTGCCAGTTTTTAGAATACTAAGCAGTGATACAGGAAAAAGTCTGCATCTTTCAAGAAGACCAGGATATTTATGCAGGGCAATGTTCCATCGCATGCCATCAAAGTACTCCACTGCATGGCTAGCCAGTAAAGGCCTTAAAGATGAAAGAATAATGACATGGCCCCCTTACTCACCTGACCTAAACCCTATTGAGAACCTGTGGGTTCTCAAAACGGGAGATTTATGGTGAAGGAAAACAGTGCACCTCTCTGAACAGTGTCTGGGAGGCTGTGTTTGCTGCTACACAAAAAGTTGATCGTCAACAGATGAAGAAACTGACAGACTCCATGGATGGAAGGCTGATGACTGGTAGTGAAAAGAAGGTGGGGCTATATTGGTGTCTGATTTTGTTTTTGAAAATGTCGGAAATGTTTATTTGTAAATTTTGAGTTGTTTGTTTATTATTCTCACTTTAACAGATTAAAATAAACAAGTGAGGTGGGAAAATTTTAGTTTTCCATTTAGCTGCATAATAATTGTGCATACTAATAGGTACCCAATAATTGTGCACAGATAGATATTCTCCTAAGAATGCCAAAACCTCACTTTTACTTCCTAAATATTCAGGTTTGAGGTTTATTAACATTTTGGATTGACCGAGAGCACTGTAGTTATTCAATAGTTACATTAATCCTCAAAAATACAACTTGCCTAGGTGATCATATCCTTCCATAATCACTTCCTTTTCAAGGAAACATACCGTAAATCCAGTTGAGTTAGTCCGCCCTCATAGCTGAGGTCCTCTGTGACCTTAAAAGAGAACTATGGGGTAAGTGTTTTTCCCCATAGTTCTCATAAGGGTCATGGGAGGACATATACCAGCGTCCACCCGTGACCCAAAGCTCAGTATAAGGAAAGTCCATGAGCCCATCGCACTCCTGACCGTTCACTCCAATGAAAAATGCTGGGTGCTGCGGTGATCAACGGGTGGCAGCCATGACGAACATGTAGAATATCAGGGATCCTGGCACTCCAATAGCAATGCCAAACAAGGTCTATTTAATGACGTGATAACATATCACACAAGATGCAACAAACGTTTCGGGGTCACACAGGATCCCCTTCCTCAAGCAAAAGACAGTGTATCACGAGCTACAGCTTGCGGTATACTGAGACCTCCACAGCCGGGATGGATCCAGACAATGCTGTCGAGATCCACCCAGCTGCGTGAATGACAGCGGTCTCTGCCTAAAGGCAGAGCCAGCTGTACCCACCCCCTCCCCCGTCTGTTCCTCCAGTCAGCGCTGGAGGAGCGGGGAGGAGGGAATCCCTGCAGGGAGCCATGACTGACATGATCAAGAAGTGAGCGAGCGACGGTATGTGTTTGCTCACTTCCTGATCTATTGAGCCAACGTTTGACAGTTTCATTGTCACACGTCGGCCCGAACTATGAGGATGAGTGATTTTCACTCACCTCATAGTTCTCCTTCAAAATTGCCTTCTCTGCACTCTTTCCAGTTGTACGATTT